TTCAGAAGTTCTACAGCTACGACTTCTAGAACTCCCTAAGACTTCTACCCGACAGGTCTACAGATCGAACCCCTACACCTACAGGCCCTACGACAACCTACCAACTTCTGCGAACACACACAGGTCACGGGTTCAATTCTCAGGGTCGACACAGGTACTGTACACAGGTAAGGTGAGAACTGGGGATTGAGCCCTGGGATCTACATTCGCTACTGCTAACAGGTGAAAACCGTTTCACTGAGAACGATATGCAGAAAACCAAGTTGCATAATCATGCAAATGACCAGATAGTCATGTACAAGCAGAGAGCACAAACGCACCGAGATTCCATCCAAATAAGAGCAATACAATGAACTCGTGAGGCAATGTTCAAGCCCTCATGTTACATACTTCAATGAGTATGGGCAGAACCAAAGATCAACCAATATAGGATGAGCATTTATGCAGCGGAAGTCTGATAACGAACTGACTCACATAGACTGACCTACATGGCATCACTCCACACACATACAATCATGAGATGGTGGGGTCTGGGTCATGCATAGACGATACCCAGATCCCGTACACACATGCACAGATGAAAGGTGGGAGGAGAGACAAAGGAGGTAGGAGGTAGATCACACCGATAGGTCACAAGATAGAGTCTGATAGGTCTCCGAAATGGTAGTCCAGAATGTCATATAACAAGATCAAAATGTCGAGGACCAAAGGTCACCAATGTCGGAGATAACCGAGTCCAGATGTAACCGGTGCCCAACTGTGATGCAGCCGAGTGTCAACCTCAACAATCTCCAAGTCTCCAATCAGGTAAGTACCACAGTCTCGTATCACCAAAATCCAACTCTGATCTCTGTCCAACTGGATAGTCTCCAATCTGAAGAAGAAGAAGAAGAAGAAGAAGAAGAAGAAGAAGAAGAAGAAGAAGAAGAAGAAGAAGAAGAGGAAGGAGGAAGAGGAGAGAGAGAGAGAGGGGACTGGCGAGGGAGAGGAGGAGAGACTCTCCAAGCTCCCAGTACCTCAGGCGGCAATGGCCACCGTGCTGGCTCAGTCGCCCTGCTGCTGCTCCGCTCGCTGCTGCGCTATGCTGCGCTCCTGCTTCAGCCCCTGCGCTAAGTTTAGCGCATCAAAACAGTACAATGGTACTGACCATGCCGTGCCGGTAGAGTTCCGGTAGGCCGATGCCTCAACTGAGGCAGGTACCGGTACTTATACCAGTAGGCCATGGTCTGGCCTCAATGCTGCGAGGCCAGGCCAGACCCTGGACCGTCCAGATGGACGGTTCAGCCTCAATCGGCGGGCGGCAGCTTCAAGAGCGCCGCCAGGCCCAAACGAAGTGTCGTTTGGGCCTACCCGATGGGTGCTGGTCCAAAATCAGGCCTTTAGGGCCTGTAACCCCAAAGGTCAGGCCTTTAGGCCCTGGTGTGTCCCTCCGGCCCTAAGTCGGGTCCGGTAGGACCCGTGTGAGTCGAAGATGTAACACCTCAGGTCACACCAACACAGTATTCAATGTCGCTCCTCTTTGTCAGGCGCCCAGCGCCCAGCCTACACTACTTGCCTATCTACTACAGCCGCATTCACACAACAGGCTCACTTCGAGTTTGAAGACCAATGTACATGACGTCAACACCATAGCCGACCTCCCTCATGCACCAGGTATGTATCTTGTCTCCCCTCGTCACCTCTGACACCCGCTCTCTCTCTCTGCGCCTCCTCCCGAAGACCCTCCTGTTGCCTCTACCTGCCCCGCGCCCTGCAGCCCGGCTATGGCTGCTAGCGCCCCGCTGCCTCTGCAGTGCCCCCGTGTGCGCCCCTGGCCGATTAGTGGAGCATGCAGCCACTTGCACAGCAACACAGCAGCGTGACTGCGTTGCCAGCCTGGGCCGGAATACCAGACCCTGGCTGCCTCTCTTCCTATTTGGAAGTGGCAGCCTCTGTTCGGCTGTGTGTGGGCCTGGCCGAGAAGCTTCAAGTAGCTTCCGGTCTTGCACCAGTGCCTGCGCCCAGGCCCAGCTTTGCAGTTGAGGGCCTGGGCCCCGTACAGTTGGGCACATCCCAAACTTCGGCCGTTTGCTGCATCTGTACAGGCCCCGGGGTGTGTACATCAACAGTGCTACTTTTGCGTAGGGCCTTGGCCACTTCGTGATGTATCTTCCTGGCAATGTGTGTGCCGAGGCACAACTACCAGGCGCAGCCGGGAGGCTCACGTTTCCATGTAACCAACTGTCGTGCGGCAACTGCCTGAGTACCCACATATGGGCAAATGTCAAATTTTGGCCTCTTGTGAATATTCGGGCCCGCCTTCACCTAGAGCGGGCACGGAACTTTCTGAGGGCCTTTGCCCAGAGCATATGCATGTCTGATAAAGGCCCCGCGAGGGCTCATTCCTCGCACCTGACTTCACTCTGGACAAAAAAACAACGGGTTCCATGTTCGTGGAGGACCATTCAGTATGTTGTTGTGGAGGATCATTGCCTTCTTTCGAGCTTGGAGACAAAACACTGCATATGTGGGGTGGGAAAATAGCATCATTTGTGCCTATTGTGTCATAATGCACATGATTCTGTATTATACGTCATATAATTCATCTCATTATTTTAATATTTTGATATTTTGATATACTTAGGGCAAGATAGCCTCAGGGGAAAGAAGGGGGAAGAAAAGAAAACGAAACTGAAGAATACCACTGTTACATGCTGAGCCTGCAACCGGCTGCACGGGCCACTTTCAGGCCCGGGACGTTTTCAGGCCAAAAGCCTGAAAACGAGGGCCTACAGGCCCCGTGTCGTTTCAGCCTGAAAGCCTGAAAACAAGGGCCTACAGGCCCTGTGTCGTTTTTTCAGCCTAAATCAGGGCCTTTCCGGCCCTGAGTGTTTTCAGCCTGAAACTGAGGGCCATTTTCAGGCCCTCATCATATCGACCCGCCCTGAAACTCAGGCACCAAACCAGGGTTTTAGCACAGGCCATTTTCAAGACAACCCCTGGTTGAGCTTCAACGCCAGGGTCTGGCACGTTTCGGCATTGGCAAGAGCAGCCTCCTGGACGGCCCAGCACTATATAGGACTGGCCTGCCCTGCAGGCCGGCAGGTAGCTCCTAGGTACTTCCCAGGCACTTCACGTGCAGTTCAGGAGGCAGGAGGTAGTCTTCAGGATTCGGCACCAGCACTCTGGAGGAGCGCTGCAGTAGTAGTTGTAGCGCTAGCAGTAGTCTTCAGCGCTGGGCGCTAGTAGCGTTAGCAGTAGTCTTCAGCGCTGGGCGCCATAGGAGCTACTAGAGAGAGAGAGAGATTGGGCGGAGGCCAGGGAGACTTACGTGCAGCGCCATAGCTCCAGCTTCGTCTTCGAGGTACCTGCAGCACAGCGCCAGCTTCACAGGTTAGTACCTGGCACGTGAGAGAGAGAGAGAGAG